CTCTCTCTCACACACACACACCACGCCGCCCCCTCACGCGGTATCAGTTCATGACATTTAGATGTGTTTGTTTCGAACCGCACTGAGACTGGTGTCTTTTCGTTGGTCAGTCTATTAGCGCCGTCGATGTTAATAATAACGGCACATGACACACATATTTTCTTCGCAAACGCACGCTCGAAATCGTGCACCCCTTTACGCATCCCGCTTCTTCACCCACTGATTTCACTCGATTTCTCACTTTGCTCACTCTCCAAGTCACTTCTTTCACGTGCGTGTGCTCGATCATTCACCCATTAACTCCGCTCAATCTGGCTCGGTCACCGACTCCCTTCATTTTTGTTTGCTGTCGCAGGGAGTCGTACAAGATACGGGGCCGGAATGCTGGGTACTACGTAGTTCCGGACGAGGAGTGTGTGGCTACAAGGTGGGCTGGTGCCTTGTCGCTACTGCGCAATCCATTATCTTGTTGATTTCAACATCAATACTGCAGGACTGTGGCGGTTCAGGGTTAGCCGTTGAGGATCCTGCACCGATGTTCAGAGCGACAATTCCGATTGGTTGTCCGATGATTGAAGAATGGCTGCCCGAAAAAGATGCGCAGTCCATGATCGCCAGGCTGGGAGCGCCTAGAAATGAGTAGCTTCTTGCCCTCCACCTCACAGGTGGGCCAGCATGCGAATGAACTGCCCCGCCTTTCGTTGTTCAATGTTAACCGTCGGTTGCAGATTTATTCATTCTTCTGTCACTAGATATGACTCTCTGCCCGCCCCCATTGGTGTATGAAATGAATTTGGCTGAAGCTTCTTGTGTAAACAATTTTCCCGCTTAATTTAATCATTTTTTTTACCGCTTCGACGCGTGTATTTGCTTGCTGAGTTAAGCATGGGGGTTGATCGATATTGTTCGCTCATTCTTGACTGTGTGGAAATTATGGATACGACGACGTGGATCGTGTGTGTCGTCCCACGTCGGGCGTGAAGTCTTTAGACCTTTCTGTACTCTTTCGTGTGAATTGATTTTCTGTGTACGTTGGTCGTACGTTTTCCCTCCCAAGGAACACTGACTCAAGGCATCCCACCATTGTTCTAGCCGACGATATATTCTTTCCTTCCTGTGTTGCTTGCACAGTAGCCCCTTACCCGGCACAATGCTGCGAGCGCTAATTGAAAGCGATCCAAGAAACATCAACGAAGTAAAGTGTGGCAGGCAGCTCGAGACGTCCGCGTCGTTGACGCTGACGACCTCGAGCTTATACTCGCTGACGGCCTGGTTGACCGGGGCGGTCACGTCGTAGTCGCCGGCGCCGGGGTCTAGAAGCAGCCGGCGTGGCCGCAGAGGGACGTCGAGAAGTATTTGTTTTGCACTTCCAGCAGTTGCTGACGTGAGAATGGCTGATGCTGGCGCTTTTGGTCTCGTCGCGTTAACGGCAGCGTTTCACGCTACATAGGTAGGGTCAGCTTTTTGCCCCTCGCTTGACGCGGTTGTCTGTGCCTTTGCGCCCCTGCTGCGTTGCGCTTTCCCGTACTTGTACTAACCTCCGCAATGAAACTGAAGGTTTCTATTGATCAATCCCAGGGCCGGATATGGTGGCGGGATTCTGGCCAGCTGCCTCACCATTAACGTGCGAACGTGAAAGAAGTGGCGGCCGTTTGTGACGGGATGATCTCGGTATCCCCTCCTGCCTCGTGGCCCGAGAGCTGACCTTTGGCGTCCTCTACAGTATTTGCAATTCACGGTGTCGGTGCTGTCGTTCTTTTCTCCTAGATTTGTTATCTCTCCTTAGATGGTTTCTCGTGTTTAACAAAGTTGGGCCACATCCTGTTTGGCATTCCGACCCTTCGCCACAGCAGTTGGCCGGACCCTTAACTACGTACATGCTTCATTCAGCGCAACTACGGCAACGGACTTGGCACGAGGTGGGAGCACCCGTGTCTGCAGGCATTTTGTAACATAGCCAGCAGCACCGGTGGAGTGTTACATGTACCTTCCTGTTTGAGCCCGTGTTGGATTGCACACGTTCGAAAAATGCGGTTTTGTGCCCCTGAGCGAGAATGGTTGTGTGTCCCGTACCTTCACGCCGCAGCGCCCTGAACCCCATATTAGTTGGGGGCTGCGTGGTGACTACATATCATGGGGGACGAACTGACTACACTGGTGGAGATGAAAAATGCGGTGGTGCAAGTATGTGTTTCATGTGACGGGGGATACCGCGCAAGATGGGGCGACGCCAACGCTTCAACTTGAACGATGGCCTCCTTAATTTGTTGCCAATGTGCCCATAACGGGTACGTCGACCTTCCGCTGTTCGATGATGGCAAGAACGCGACTCATGATTTTGTGTCTTCGTGGGTGACTTGTGTGAACCATGTGCCGTGTCCTGGCACTTGGTGTAGACCCGCTCCGCGCGAAAGAAACCAAATGAACGACCAACAAATGTGGTTGCTGTGGAAAATGTCGCAATCCACGCTATCGTTCTCTCCTACTAGCCTGATCGGCTACAAGTACGATACCGGGCGGATGGATGGACCATGCACCCGTCGACTTGAGGGAATTACAAGTGCTGATCTCGCCGGAGTTCGACCACAATAAGCTCATGTAGCGGTAACATGTCCCTTGCGTGCCTGTCGGCGGCAACGAAGTGACGTGTTCCCGCACTGAGCGGCACGGGGCAACATGTGCACCAATCGTGTGCGTGTCCCCAGTGTTCAGGCTCACAAGACCGATGAAAACCTCTGCGGCTTGTCCGGTGGACTGAGCTTGTTTTTCGTCGTTGCGAATGAGCATCAGCGAGAGATGATGCGTCACGCGCACCGTTCCACAGGCCGTTCGTTCAGCCCACGGCGGGGTTTTCGCCAAAATCCCGCATGCGATTCCCTTTTGCTCGTCCGACCGAAAGAGGACCTAAAGCACGCCCATGATCCCAAAACCATGTTTCGCGCCTGGCCTCGTCGCCCAGGCGTTCTTGTTTGCCGTCTTTGTTCTGGTTGGGCCGGCCTCATGGTGCACTGCAAAGCGCAACACTGGTAGTATCCAACTTCACCAGGCGAAACGTTAGTGAGATGCACAAGCCCAGCGGTAACGGCCTGAGCCAGAAACCCGCGCAAGCGCTATAGGCGTCGCGCTCCGAACGCGATCTCCAGCTTGCTTTTCACCTTCAGCAGCGACAACAACAGCGGCCGCAAGAACACCAGCGGACAAGATGGGCGGGGGGGGGCGGGAATGGGCATAATGTAAATGGTGGACTGGTATGCTACAGGACTACAGTAGTACTCGTGAACCGCACGGGGATTCTCGAGTGAAAAAACACAAAAAATGACATCCACGGAGGGAACAGATCATCCCCCATCGCGACTGCGCGCTCGCGCCGCCTTCGAAGCTAGCGGAACCTTTCTTCAGCGCAAATATTCCGCAGTGGACTGCCTGTCGATACAGAAGTTGGGCAAATGCACCCAACCCGCAATAGAGGTAGTCATGGTGTCCGCTTCGAAATGCCCTTCGCGGTGGTCGGGCTCGCCGTCAGCCCGCATTCGTGGCAATCTTGCTGGGCCGACGTTCGGCAGCGCCATGTCCCAACACGAGCGGCACGAGTAGCGAGCACGGCACGGAAACTGCAGCAGAGGACTTGTGAGTCCACCTGATCCACATACCTCCTGTACACGGCGACAAAAAAATAATGCGGCCCCAGCAGAAGTAGCAGCAGCAGCAGCAGCAGCAGCAGCAAAAGCAACAGCGACAGCGATAGCAACAGCAGCAACAACAGCTCCAGAACTGGCAGGAAAAGCAACACAGAGCAGCTCCAGCCAGAGCAAAGACACAAACCAGTCGTGCACAAGTTTTCACCTCTCGGAAGGAGTGGTGTCGATATCTCGCCCAGAAGGCACTGTCCCGCCACTTGGTCGCCGGGAAGGAAACGCTCCCAATGCCGTGGAAAACCCTTGCCACCGCCCTCGCCAGCATCGGGACATCCTGTTCGTTGAAAAGCGCGCAGGGAATCATGAGCGGGACGATGTTGCGTCGCTCTCCGTCGAGAAATGCCGGTATGGGGTATCAAGCATCCTCGAGCCAGGGATGGTTTCAAAAACAACACGACAGATGATCGAAAAAAGATGAATTCTTCCGGAATTGTTGTACTGTAGAAAAATCTGACCAAAAAACACAGGGAGAGGGGGGAGCAAAGAAACTAATATCGTGACCCCTCCTGCTGTCGCCTCGAGACCAATGGGAACCCGTAGCGGTGATGTCCGGCTAGCTTCTCAACAACAAAGAGCACGCAGAACAGCGGTCGACCGTCCCGCCGCAAAAAGACCACGCAAACACCAAGGAGACGACATCCAGCCCCTCGCGCTTACAAGCGTAGAAAAATTGCGGGGTGGGGGGACATTGATGGGCCCGGTCAGGCAATACGGGTTGGTAAACAAAAAAGAGAAGCATGAGTGGGTCAAAAAAGCAAAAATGCGGAAACAAGCAAAGGTTATCCATGAAAAACGAAGCGCGAACCCCGTGTCACGCCGCCGATTGGGCGGCAACCAACCGCGGAGGTAGTTTTATGCCGCTGTAATGCCGCCGTCTCTTCATTGGACAGGCGGTTAGCGCGCGGTCGACGCTATCCGCATTTATCAAAAGATTCACGAATTTCCACGCTCCGCATGCGCGGAACCACGTGCCCATCTCGAAACACGCGAACACAAGACAGTTCACACTGGTAGACACACGCGCGAGCTCTTGCCTTGAGCAGCCACGAGTGTGGGGCCATGCCGATCCCAGCCCCGCCGGCAGCAGCCGCGGTGGCCCCGGTGGCCACGTCGAAAAACCCCAGCCCGCCGCCGCTGCCGCCGCCGCCGCCGCCGCTCCCGTAGTCGTCGAAACCGGCGTTAAGGCGGCCCAGGAAGGAAGGGTCTGTCACAAGGACGGAGGCGTCTCTCACAAGCACCTCGCACGCTCGGTTGTCCAGCGGCCGGTGTGGGAGAGCCTCTACCGCCGCCTCCGCTGATTCTTCTGCCGAAGGACGCGGCCCGCCGTCCACGAACGCGGACGATGGGTCGGCGGGGCCCGCCGAACTGCCGCCGCCGCTGGCTAAGCCAGGAGAGTCGCCGCTGTTGGCGTGTTTGTTGCCCCCGCCGCAGCCTTCGTCGAAGTAGCGGCTGATGGTGGCGTGGAGGACTGACCTCGCCCTTCCTTTCGCGGCCGGTGTGTCCCTGCCATCGCCGCCGCTGCCGCTGTCGCCACTACTACCAGGACCCCCTACGGCAGTGGAGGTTGTAACCGTTTCGCCGTCACCGCGGGCACGCTTCTTGCCGGAGCTCTTTCGTGACGGGGAGGACGATGAGAAGGAGGAAGACCCGGGGTCATCCTGTCCACCGTCCCCTTCTCCGACGACCGCTTCTGCGGCGAGCGCGAGGTACACTGCCTCCACCTGGGTTAACAAGGTTCGCGTTTCGGAATGTTTTAGCCGGGGGTCTCAGCAATACACCTGAATACGACGCACACGCCTTGTTCATGAACAAGGCTGGGTTGCAGATGCCACGCCCGCAACTACTGCTGTGCCTGCAATCGCTCACAACAACACCGAGCGGGGTGTGTCCCCCACGCCCCCAGAGAAGCGCTTTCGTCGAATCCCGATCAACGACGTTTCGAATACTTGTTTCGGACATGGCAAGTCATCTCACCGAGACTCGACGTTTGGATACTGTTTCGACTGCGCCGCCTTCTGCAGCCTCTTCAGTCATCCCGTACAGCATACCATAAATATCACGCCACGACTCTGCCACTTCTAGCCTCTACGCGTCGCTCCCGGCATTGCCCGAAATTCCACCCTTCCACCGTCCCTTTTGCCGCCTTCAATGTTATCCAACAGGCGCCAGCAAACGTGATAAGCGCCGGTCGAGTCGAGCTTCGACCGGCCCGCATGCCTCGCGAACACAAGCGACACGAGACTCGGGTGCACAAAGAGAGCCCATCACGGGGCTCGTTGTCGTGAAATTTGTCCGTCACCGTATTGGGCACCTTTTGAGCCTCAGAGGCCTCCGCCATCGAAAGCGTGCGATGCAAATCGAGGCAGACCTCTTCCAGTTCCCGTGGAGACAGCCCCCGGAGGAGAGTGACGTGGAAGCTCCTCTGGGAGAGGGAGTACTCCACCTCCCCCATGAACTGTAGTCTGGTCGAAGAGACAGGGTGGGGTCAGAGAGGGAGAGAGAGAGAGAGAGAGAGAGAGAAAATGAGAGAGAGAGGAGTAGGAGCCGAAATCAAAATTTGGGGTCATGCAGATCCCCCACCTAAAATTATGTAGAAGCCGCAATCAAATAAGACTTCGTTTGAGTTCGGCTTCTTTAACCGGAGAAGGAGCGAAAGAGAGGAAGTAAGGAAGAGAAAAGGATAGGAAGAGAGGAAGTGAGCAAGAGAAAAAGGAAGAGAGGAAGTGAGCAAGAGAACAAGAAAGGAAGAGAGAATGAACATGGGGAGAGAGCAACTAATAGCATACTCTAACAACAACACTGCCCACTACCACCAACACGAATGACTACCAGGTAGGGCGAAACTCACTGCAAAGCACATCCCTTCCAAGAAACGCCATCGTCATTTCCTTCGGCAATGTATGTCGCGATACCACAGCAACAGTAGGATCAAGCTCAAGTCGCGCCCGAAAGCATCGATGTTGCAATGATCTCGCTTTCGAGTGCTTCGTGCTTCACAGAACGGTCCCAAGCGGCCTGCCATTTGATCGTGTTGGTCCTACATCATTGCCAAACTTCAACACCGATGTGTGTGGGTGTCCTCCTCGTCAACCCACGGCAGGAAGGGTGTTAAAAACTTAGAACCATGCGTACGACGCAAGCTGCCAACTACCAGCAGATGAAGGAAACAAAGCGTTTCCAGCAAGCTTCGTGGGGAGCAAGAATGCGAGTTAGAATCGCCACGCCGCCGTGCCACCCACCTCCTTAGCTCGCGGACGACCGCCGTGGGCGCCCAGCCCAGCGCCTCCGCCAGCCTCACCAGGCTGATCTTTGCTGAGCCGTGGCCGTAGCTGTACCTGTAAGAGCAACAGGAACGGGTGTTTTATGTGTCGGAAGAGGAAACACCACGCGCTGCGTGTGCGGTTCGTCGGAGGCAGCCTCTAACCATCCAAGAGCTCGGTTCGACGCGCAACACCGAACGACCGATCTCGCCAAAAAACAAAACAAAAACGCTTCCGACGAGAAAAAATAGTTGAAAGCTGAGACACCCCAGAACGGGCTCGAAGACAGAGGGCGGTGGATGCTACTGCACCACCTGCAGAAGAAATCACGTCACCCTCCCCCCCCCCCCCCCCCCCCCCCCCCCCCCCCCCCCCCCCCCCCCCCCCNCCCCCCCCCCGCCTTTCCCTTGAACTGCGGAGAACGCTCTGGGGTACTCCTTCTTGGGGTTGAGAGGCAGGACTCCTGTCGACCGTGATGGGGTCAACCAA